GCCCTCCCTTCCCCCACCCGCCACCCCGCCCCACGTTTCTCCATGGACCCTTTGGAAATCGGCATGCTCCAGGTTAGGGAGCAGGACGGCCCGCTCCTGGTCTGTGTCCTGCGCCCCATTTCCCTCCCCCTGCACCCTGCTTCTCATTTTTCCTACCTAGGCCCTCCCCCTCAGACTCTGCCTTTTCGCCCTCCTCCAACTCTCCGGTTTTCTTCGGAACCGCAGACTCCCTCGGCCTCCCTTTTGGGGTAGGGGTGCAGGAGTCCGAGGTGACAACCAGGTCAGAGGGCTGAGGCGAGGCTGTGAACGAGTAAGCCTTTTCCCAGACAGTCCCAAGTGAAAGAGTTTCACCTGAGCGGTGCTACTTGGGCTGGTGGTTCTGTAAATGAGTAGATCTCCTCCTGAGCACCTTTCCAACCATCCAAGACCCTCCCTGCATCACAGGCCATCTTTACTGTCTAGGACTGGTCCGAACTGGGAAACCTGCTCCCACTTCATGGTCTGACTTCTGCTGCAGGCACACCAACACGCCACCTTCTTAACAGGGGTCTCTGGGTGGGCTTTGGAGTAATAACGGACCCCTTGAGGTTGCAGGCAAAATGCTGAATGTCTGTTTGCTTTTTCAGGAGAGAGGGTCGCTGCCTTCCCTATAGTGGCACAGAGGCTCTGGCAGCGCCACCATTTATGACTGTATGGCTTTGAGCAAGTTACACAGTGTTCCGGGGGAGCCTCTGCTCCTCATCTATAAAATGGTGAATGCAATAATATTTGCCTCCTAGGCATACTAAGAGCAATGTTACCCCTAGACTTGGGCAACAGGAGCCTCAGCCCTGGATTCCTGGTTTCAAAGGCCCTCATTCTGGCCCTCCTCTGGCCATGCCCCTTCTCACTGGAGAATGAGTCCATGGGACCAAGGGGGCAGGGCAGACAGGGACATGCACCTCCTCCCCTTCCAGACCGTACTCTGGGTATCAGGAACTCTGGAATTCCCCCTATTCCCCAGATCTGTCCTTTCAAGAGCTGACCATATCGGGTGTACATTCAAGGGCTAGAGCAGTGGGCAAGGGACAGCTGTTTGCAGGTGATGGGGAACGCATGGAACTTGACATACACCCCAGGCATGCACAGGAGCCCCTCTGCCTACAGGACCAGAGAAGAGCGTGTGCCAGAGAATGGCCTGAAAGTTTCATGTTGGACATGGTTTTCCAGGTTATCATGAAGGAAAAGGAATTAAAGGCAGATGATAAAACATCAATCTTAACACTTTGCTTTCCTGATTAATATTTAGACATATGTATGATTTCCATTTGTATCTTTGCTCCAGGCCTTGCAACATCAGAAGTGGACCTAGCCGTAAAGAGGGAATGAGGTATTATTGCATGTAAAAGTGCTTCGCAGACTGCTAGGCACAGGATAAACACTCAGTCCATCTGAACTTAAAGAGGTCTGTGGGCCCTGAGGCTGAGCCTCCCGCTCTGTCTCCAGGTTCCAAGGCTTACCCTGTCCTTCCCCCAGGAGGTCCTTGCACTAGATCAGCAGGGCCAGGCACACAAACTGACCACTTTATTTTTACAGCAGGGGTCATGTTTCTCAGAGCCCTGGACTGAGGTGAGAGAGGAGGTGAGCCAAAGGGAAGGAAAGTGACCCCTGCCCAGAGCAGGGGGAGGAGAAGGACAGAGCTGCAGGGTTATCTTTAGATCCTGGTGACAGGAAAAGGTGGCCAGTGTCCTCAGTGCCCTCTCCCCACCTTCCCTGCTACCTCACTGCTACCTCACCAGTTCGTAGAGTTTGAAGGGTCCATAGGCAATCCCCATGCCTTAGGGAGGAAGAAAGAGGCTCAGAGAGGTAGAATGTGTAACCCGAGGTCACCTAGAAAGTTACTGCTAAAGTCAGGGTTAGCACCTCCCCCATTACTTGATTTCCCCAATCCACACCCCCAGCTTTCCTCTAAAGAACTCCAGGAGGGCTCCGCAGCTGGGCAGAAAGAGTGCTTGGGAAATGCATTAGCTTAAGGGCTAGAGGATTTTTACATTTATAGAGCACTTTCCTCAAAAATTCTCAAAAACCCAGCCCATCGATCTAACTCAGAGGCTCCTACTGAGGATGCCAGGGGAGAGGGTGTCAAAAGGTCAGAGCTCCTTCTCTCTTACCTTTTAAAACTATCTTTTCCAGGGCCCTCCCTGATTTAGTACCTCCTCACCCAGCTCAAGAGTCCCCAGTCACTGGATAGGGACAGGAAGAAACAGATACCACACCTTGGCTCCTGTCCCTTCTGCTGGAAGTCCCTTGGGGGAGGGCAGGGGTGGTATCTGGGGACACAGTCCCCAGCCACGGTCAGACAAGCCCGATTCCTGGTGATGGGGTAATGCACACACAGCTCTTGGGTGGCCTAGCTCAGAAATACATTGAAGAGCCAGTTTTCAAAGATGCAGAGGCGGATTGGGCCCTGTGCCACAGAGTTGTCAGAGAACTGCCCGCTCTCAGGCTGCAGGAGACAAGGCCTAGATTTAAGGGGAAGGAGATTGTTTCCTTGGGGATTCACGTAGGGTTCTTTGAAGCAGTAAGCCCAACAAAAATCCTCAGAGACCAAGCAACTGACTCAGCAGGTCTCCTCTCCCCTGCCCTCCTAGGGAGCTGAATCTGAGCTAGGAAGGAGGGTGGGTGCCTGTTTTCCAGGAGGGCCAGCCTAGAGAGGAATCAGCATGCCCTAGGGGAAGTCGGGTGGGCAGGAATGGGCCGAGCTCCAGCTGCCAGCCTCCAGAGCTGCCCTTACACTGGAAGGCATTCACCCCTGGAGCGGGATCACCTTGTACAGATGATCAGGGTGGGTACATGGAAAGTGCTTCCTCCCCTGTCAGTTCTCAGACAGCCATCGAGACCCTGTGCAGAGGAGGAAGGGCAACAGAGAGCTCCAAGGAGGTCTCCAGCGCTATTTTGAGAGGAGCTCCTCCTAAGTAACAAGAGCCTGGCAGGGAGCCTCCTCCTACTCTGGCTCCCCTATTGCCCTTGCCCGCCTGCCTCCCTCTCCCTCCTCTTCCCCCATAAACCCTCGCGCTCCTGCCGGGGCACTGCAGGTAACAGAGGGAGCTCAGCGCAGCGCTGACTCGGCTCTTGGAGCTGGAGGACAACGGGCTCTGCAGGGAGCCCGCCTCCCCCACCACACACCCACCTCACAGCTCCTCTCCAGATCAACACCAAGATGCATCTGCCCCTCTCCTTCCCCGAGCTACTCCCTGGTTGTAACCAGAGCCCCCGTCTCAGCATGGGGAAACTGCAGGCAGGAGATTCTCTCTACTTGCACTAACTTAAAGTTAAATGTGCGCAAATCCTTCTGCCACTTGGGTTGGGGTTAGGTGACGCTACCTGGACAAACTTTTGGAGGCTTCCTTCTGCTGCACCAAGGTCTGCCCTCTACCCCTCCCTACTCACCACTCCCTTCCTCCAGCTCAGAGCACCAGCTTGGCCCCAGCCAGAGTCTCAGCGTCCGCTGAAGTTTGGCAGGTGCCGAGGGGGTTAACAGGACAGCATGCACCAAACCAACCCACAGGCACGAGGCTTAGCAGTCCAGCAAGGAACACCACGCAGAGTCCACCTCACACCAGCGAGTTGGAGTAAAGATAAACTCTTTCTGAACCCTTCTCCCAAGGAGAGTGGATCGCTTCTTCTCACTCCTCTGCTGTCTAGGGGCTCTGGGCAGAGGCAGGTAGGAAGCCACATCCTCAATCCCTCCCTTCCTGTTTCTGTTTTCTGCCAGGTTCTGTCCAAACATCCTTTCAGGCTAAGGTGGGTAGGGAGCCCCAGACAGATGAGCTCATTGGAAGGAGGAGGGCAGAGGGAGGAGGGAGCTGGAATATCCTGACCAGAGGGATGCTCACCGGCCAGTCCCGAGCTGGAGAGGGTGTGCGCCCACTTCCAGGAGCAGGCATGTGCTGCCCTTGCAGTAGCTCCGAGACGGGGTGAGTCCTGGACATCTCTTTACTATAGGCCACACTGGGGTGGGGTTTGAAGCCCCCGGGCAGGGTGTCAACCACCCTACCCAGCACCCCAGAGCTATATTTCTCTCTCTGCTTCATGGGTCACCATGGCCCCCTGCCTGTCCATCAAGGGAGGACGGTGACTCGGGAGGGCTGGGAACTGGAGGCTTTGGGAAGGTTTGTCATCCATTGCAGCC